CATTCACCTTATTTATTCAATCTGTACGCTGAACAAATAAGCAATGAAGTTTGACTATATGAAGAAGAACATGGTATCAGGACTGTAGTAAGACTCATTAACAACCTGTGAGATGCAGATGACACAACCTTGTTTGCTGAAAATGAAGAGAACTTGAAGCACTTACTGATGAAGGTCAAAGACTACAGCCTTCAGTATGGATTACACCTCAACATAATGAAAACAAAAATCCTCACAACTTGACCAATAAGCAACATCATGATAAGTGGAGAAAAGATTGAAGTTGTCAAGGATTTCATTTTACTTGGATCCACAATCAACGCTCAAGGAAGCAGCAGTCAAGAAAGCAAGGGACATACTGCATTGGGAAATCTGCTGCAAAAGACCTCTTTCAAGTGTTAAAAAGTAAAGATGTCACTTTGAGGACTAAGGTGCACCTGACCCAAGCCATGGTATTTTCAGTTGCGTCATATGCATGAGAAAGCTGGACAATAGGAAAACCAAAGAAGAATTGATGCTTTTGAATTATGGTGTTGGTGAAGAATATTGCATATACCATGGACTGCCAGAAGAAGGAAAAAGTCTGTCTTGGAAGAAGTACAGCCAGAATGCTCCTTAGAAGCAAGGATGGCGAGATTTCGTCTTACCTACTTTGGACGTGTTATCAGGATGGACCAGTCCCTGGAGAAGGACATCATGCTTGGTAAAGTAGAGGGTCCGTGAAAAAGAGGAAGACTCTCAAGGAGATGGATTGATACAGTGGCTGCAACAATGGACTCAAACACGGCAAAGATTGTGAGGATGGTGCAGGACCGGGCAGTGTTTCTCCCTGTTGTACACAGGGTCGCTATGAGTCATAACCGACTCAATGGAATCTAACAACAACAATAACATAGAGGAAAAAGTTGATGAGAGGTTCCGGGGCTGGCAGGAGGGGCAATGGGAGCGTTCGCTTAACAGGTACAGAGTTTGTTTGGAGTGATGAACAAGTTTTAGGAATAGACAGTGGTGATGGTCGTACAACATGGTGACTGTAATTAACCCCTCTGAATTGCACACTTAAAAATGGTCAAAATGGTAAACTTCATGTGGTGAGTACTTTACCACAATAAGAAAAATATTAACTAAAAAAAAAATGATGAACAAATTTAAAACAAGAGTTTCTTCTCATTAGGTTTGACCTGCCTGGGAAAGGTCATCTTGTCCCTGTACGAACGAGACCCTCGTTTCTCGCCTGTGGTCAAGGTGTCAGGCAGGTTTGCAGGGCGGGTCATGCAGCGAGATGCTGGGGTCAACACCCGGGTTTCTGACACACACGCTTTAATGGGCTGTGCTCTTGGGTATCCTGCTCGGCCTGAGCCTCTGAAGTCTCATCTGTAAGGTGGTGATAAAACGCCTATGTCCTAGGGGCGTTACGATGGTAACTGGCCTGGTACAGTGTTGTCGCTGTTGTCAGGAGCCGGCGAGTCGGTTCCGACTCATAGTGACCCCATGTACGACAGAACGAAACACTGCTCGGTCCTGCGCCGTCCTCACAATCATTGTTATGCTTGAGCCCACTGTTGCACCCTCTGTGTCAGTCCATTTCATTCCTCTTTTTCGCTGACCCTCTACCAAGCATGATGTCCTTTTCCAGTAGGACAGTAAATGACACAAAAACAGTAGCTATTATTTATTAATACATAGTGAAATGCACGCATTTTCATGCAAATATCTGTGAGGTTTAACAAATGCAAACAGTCGTGTATCCACCACCACAAGCAAGGTAGGGAGAACTGTGCTCCATAGGGTTTTCAATGGCTGACTTCTCAGAAGCAGGTTGCCAGGCTTTTCTTCCAAGGTGCCTCTGGGTGGACTCAAACTTCTAACCTTTCAGCTAGCAGCTCAGCATGTTAACCATTTGCACCGTTTGGCTGGCTAATAACCAAAAAACCCAAAGCAGTTGCCGCTGAGTTGATTCTGACTCATGGCCACCCCGGGTGTGGCACGGTAGGACTGTGCTCCATAGGGCTTGTTTTCTCCCCCCATTGGGCTTTCAATGGCTGACTTTTTGGAATTAGATCCCTTTTGGAATTAGGCTAATACAACCCCTCTAATAAAGGTTTCTACCACCTGTCTGTCAGGCTGTCATACTGCGGTGGCTTGTGTGTTGCTGTGCTGCTGGAAGCTATGCCACGGGTACTTCAAATACCAGGAAGGTGAGTCGTGGTGGACGGGTTTCAGTGGAGTTTACAGACTAAGATAGACCAGGAAGAAAAGCCTGGTGATCTACTTCTGAAAAATCAGCCAATGAAAACCTTATGGGTCACAACAGAACACTGTCCGACTTGCTTTGGGCACGTCATTAAGAGGGATCAATCGCTGGGGGGGACATGATGTTTGGTGAAGTAGTGGTGAGGGAGACCCTTGGTGAGAAGGATTGGCACAAGAGCTGAAACGATGGGCTCAGACACGCCGAAGCGTGTGAGGATGATGCAGGAGCAGGGAACATTTCGTTCTGTTGTACACGGGGTCACCACGAGCCACAGCCGACTTGATGGCAGCTCAGGATGCCAGAGGCTCCTGGGAGCATCAGATTCCTATCTCTTCTCCCTCCCTCTGTCCATACGTCTGCTCGCCGGGGGGCGAGGGAGGAGGGTGAGTGGACACTGTATTCTCTCTTTAAATCGAGTGCCCTCTCTTTGATTGGTTTAGCAAGAATAGTTTAATGAATGTACGTTAATGAATGGATGACCCAGCCCCACTGTCACCTGGAGAGCGTCTCCGTGTGAAAGTGTGTCCGAACTTTGGTTCTGAACAACTCACCTCATTGGTCCCTCCTTGAGAAGCATAGGTGAACACGCAAGTATACTTGTCCTAGGGAAGAGAGAAAAGAAAGGCGTGGTAGGTGGTGATCCTTAGGGCTCCTGAGATCCTGCATGATAGCGTGGGCAAGTAAGACCTCCCTTTTGAGCATCTACACTAAGGTGGACAGAGTGGGACCAGGATTCCTCTGAGACCAGCCCTCTGAGGCCTGCCAGGGGCTGCAGCCCTCAAACTCCCCTGCCCGCCTCCCTACTAGTGAGCCCCTGGGTCAGAAGAAACAACCCATGTGGCTCCTGGGGAATAAAGAACAGGAAAGGGGAGGTCACCCTCCTGCACCGCCCCCCCCCCCGGCCAGGAACACAGACTCTGGAAGCAGGGACACCTGGGGCCCACCTCTGCTCTACTATAGGCTCTGGGCAAGCGAAAACCTCTCTGAGCCTCTGTTTACATATCTGTAAAATGGGCCTAGGAATCCCTGGGTGGTGCAAATGGTTAATGCACTTGGCTGCTAACCAAAAGGTTGGAGATTCGAGTCCACCCAGAGGAAGAAAGGCCTCGCGATCTACTTCCAAAAAATCAGCCACTGAAAACCCTGTGGAGCACAGTTCTACTCTAACACGTATGGGGTTGCCACGAGTTGGAGTCGACTGGACAGCAGCTGGTTTTAAACTGGCAAAATGGGCCTGACATATAAAGCATTTAGCACAATACCTGGCAGGGAAACAGCAAGTGAGAAAGGAAAGTGACTTCTCTAACAAGCTGGGGACAGAACTGGGCTACAGCCAGGCCTGCTGGCTGCAGGTAAGCTCCTTTTCTGAGGACTGACCTCACCACCTCAGTGAAAAAGGTAGGGATTTTGCGCAAGGGAAGGAGGAAACAACGTTTGTCCACTTCCTGATCTGAGCTGCCTGGAGCAGCCCTTTAGTACAAGGGTTATGCGCTCGGCTGCTAACTGAAAGGTTGGTGGTTTGAACCCACTCAGAGGCTCTGCAGGAGAGGGACTTAGCAATCTTCTCCTGTAAAGATTTAAAAAACAAAAACAAAAAACTCATTGCTGTCGGGTCGATTCCAACTCATAGGGACCCTATAAGACAGAGTAGAACTGCCCCAGAGAGTTTCCAAGGAGCAGCTGGTGGATTCGAACTGCCAGCCTCTTGGTTAACAGCCGAGCTCTTAACCACTGCGCCCTCTTACAGCCTAGAAAGCCCTAAAGGGCATTTCTGCTCTGTCCTATAGGGTCGCTATACATCGGAATCGACTCGACGACACACAAGAGGGCCTCGAGGGAGCATCGTCGAAGCCTCCAAGCTTGCAGGCCGGCTCTCATCTCTCCCCACCGCTAGGTCCGCCTTGCCTTCCACGGGCCAGGGACTTGCCTGGCCCCCAGTCTTGGGGATAGGTCTGGTTGGACACTTGGGCTGGTGAGGGGTGACCCATGGCTTTGCCCTGTGCGTGGGACAGGGACTGAGGCTGGTGACCACGCCCCCAAGATCTGCGCCCCCCTCCCGGGACCCGCCCCCGGCAGCCATCACTCAAGTTCCCCGGGAGGCGGTGGCACATACCCCAGGGCCCGCGCTGTGGGAGAAGGAGTGTTCGACGCCGCCGGGCCGCACGTCAAACGCCACCGTTATGGGTTCGGACACCGCCTCGGCCGGCCTCAGCGCCACGGCCGCCAGCAGCAGAGCGGCCCACAAACTCGCGCTTCCGCCGCCGATCCTTCCTCCGCTGGGCGCCGCCATCTTGGGACCGTGTCTGCGGGGCAACGGCGGCGGACGGGGCGCGGCGAGGGACACGTGGGGCGTTCATCGGAGGACACGTCGGCGCCCGGGGCCACGTGACTCAGCGCCGCCCCGCCTCCTCCGCCCGCCTGGGCCGCCATCTTGGGGGCGGGGCTTGGAAGGATTGACCTTACTCTGGGGAAACCGGTCGAGAGTGCGTTTCCTGGGTTCAGGGTCCGGTATTCTCCTAGTTACTAGTAGTGGGATTGACCCTACAGCTCTTCCAGTGAATAAATGGAGAAGGAATGAGGAAAAGAGAAGATCACCATTAGGTAACCACCTCATATGCAAGATCCGTGGATGGATGCTAAAATTTAGTGGGAGAAGATGTGATGAGTAACAGGATATTTGTATAGCCTCAAAATGTTTCCTCCCAAGATACCTATTATTTGTTGTTGTTGGATGCCGTTGAGTGGATTCCGCCTCATAGTGACCCCATGTGACAGAGTAGCATTGCCCCATAGGGTTCCCTAGGCTTTAATCTTTAAGGAATGAGATCGCCAAGTCTTCCTCCGAGGAGCCGCTGGGTGCATTCAGACCGCCAACCTTCAGGTTAGCAGCTGAGCACTTAACCATTGCGCCACCAGGGCTACTACTTATTAGTTTCAAAGAGGAAAACAGTAAGTTTACAGAGGCGAAGCGAGGCAGACATCACCTTAGCCCAGTGAGCAAAGTTAACGTCACTCGTGAGAAAAGATACCAGCATCACGTGCCTACTGGTACAATGCACTGAGAAGAATCCAACATCACCTCTGTGATATTCGTTGCTATCGAGTTGATTCTGACTCTTAGAGATGCTATAGGACAGAGTAGAACTGCCCCTTGGGTTTCCAAGGAGCAGCTGGTGGATTCAAACTGCCAACCTTTTGGTTAGCGGACCAGCTCGTAAGCACTGCACCACCAGGGCTCCCCACCTGTGTGATAGTCTTGCCAAAAATGCGTAACCTTAATCCAGTACCAGTGCCATGTGCCATCCAGTCGACTCCAACTCATGGAGACCTCGTGTGTGTCAGAGTAGAACCGTGCTCCATAGGGTTTTCAGTGGCTGATTTTTCAGTAGATAGCCAGGCCTTTCTTCTGAGGTACCTCTGGGTGGAGTTGAACCTACAACCTTTTGGCAAGCCTAGCACATTAACTGCACCACGCAGGAACCCACTTTATTTTGCAGTGGATTAAAGAAGTTCCTTCTCCTTGACACATTGATTCTAAGCATTCATTTTGTTTGTTAGAGTGCAATAATTCAGTGTTTTCTCAACCAGTATAATGATCTTTCTATTAGTGACACCTCTGGTTCCTGTTCTGATCCAGCCAGTCTTTAAATCTGCAGTGGGCATTATGGCCCCAGGATCTTGGCTGAGCTTCTGATCAATAAAACACATTGAGATCTGCAACATACTTTGATTTGCAGCATTTATGACAAAGGACTGGTTTCCTTCGTATATAAAGAGCATCTATAATCAATGAGGCCAACCGGTCAAAAGAAAGGTGGGCAAAGGACATGAACAGACGATTGATGGAAAATAGGTAAAAGATACTTAACCTCACACATAAGAGAAATATGAGTTCAAATTACAGTGAGATGCCATGTTTCACCCTTAAGATTGGCAAAGAAAAATGTTTTATAACTCTCAGTACTGGTGAGGGAATGGAGGAATAGGCACAATTCTCTTGATGGGAGTATAAACTGGGGCATTCTCTTTGGAGGGCAGTTTGGCAGTATTCTTTAAAAATGAATATGCCTTTTGATAATTCTAGAAATTTATGCTATGAACTCATATGCCTAAAGCATGTACAGGCTATTTATTATAGTATCATTTACACCAGGGGTTGCCCCATTATGGTAGGCCAAATTGGCCCTTTGCCTGTTTTCATAAATACAGTTTTTTTTGGAACACAGAAATGCTAAAAGGGCAGAATACAGTAGTTGTGACACAGGCTGGCTCACAAAATTAATATATGTACTCTCTGACCCTTTACAACACTGATTTAAACTAACAAAAAGTCCGGAATTACTTATGTACCCACTGATGGGGGAGTGGTGAAATAAATTATAGTACATTCACATAGCAGAATTGAATGCAAATATTAAAAATAAGGTAAGTCTAGTGTAAAAATACACTATGGACTGCCAGAGGAATGAACAACTCTGTCTTTGAAAAAGTACAGCCAGAATACTCCTTAGAAATGAGGATGGCAAGAGTGTCTCACTTACTTTAGACATGTTATCAGGAGAGTTGAATCCCTGGAGAAGGACATTATGTTTGGTAAAGTAGACGGTCAGTGAAACAGAGAAAGACCTTCAACGAGATGGAGTGACACAGTGGCTGCAACAATGGCCTGAAACAAAGCAACGATTGTGAAGATGGTGCAGAACAGGGCAATGTTTACTTCTGCTACATATGGGGTCAGTATGAGTTGGAAACAACTTGACAGCATCTAACAACAATAGTGCAATAATGTGGTACAATCCCCAAGATATATTAAGTCAAAAATCTAAGACTAAGACTAAGTGGGCAGAGCTAAAATGGCAGCTTAATCACAAGCAACATAATGTTCCCCTGAACCAAAGACCCAAAAAACCAAGCAAAGCAGAAACATAATAATCCAGGAACCCTGAACATCAAAAACAAAAGTCTAAGGAATGAACCAAATACCAATTGGAAGGAATAAGGAAAGCAGCAAAAAAGGAGTAACACGGAATGGCGGAGTTCAGCCAGCTGTCCCGGCCCACCACGGCTAACTTAGGACAAAGGCAGCAGTGACCTTGGGTGAAGAAAAGAGCAAGGAAACTTCATGAATATCCCAAAAGGGATAGAGAACTTCTATAGACACATATGGAGAGAAGCAGAGACAGGGAGGGTGCCAGATCCAGAACCAGAGATACTCAGGAGCAGTGGCCCTTGACCTCGGGACAGATGCAGTGAGACCGAGCAAACATTCACTTGCCATTCTTTCCTCACTTCCCCTACCCAGGAAGAGGTGGAGGTAGAGCAACTGTGTGAGGTAGAGCAACGTCCCCCTGCTGCCCCCTTTCTACCAACCACACCTCCCCACCCCCACTTACCCACCACAGCTACCACTTTGGCTGCTCCACCTGCATGGAGAGCACCATTCCCTGTTCCTGAGCCACCAAACTGAAGACAGAGGCCAAAGCCAAACCAACCAACCCTCAGCTGCCCTGCAAAATCAGTAAACAGAGACCCAAGCTCCACACCTATCTGCCACTACGCCCACCCAAAGACAGGTGGGGAGTGCTGCAGCACGGCCAGTCCAGTGACTACAGTACCCGTCCAGCCGTACCTGCCAGGAATCATCAAAACAAACAAAAAACAGGACCCAGCAAACAATTACACGAGTAAAAAATAAATACAATAACTCCTTAATGTCCCAGAGACAACACACAATAGCAAACCACCTAAAGAAGTAGAACAACATGGCCCCAGCAAGTGACCATAATAAAGAACCAGAAATCCTCCCTGAGGAAGAAAAGATAATGGAGTTTACTGATAAGGAATTCAAAAGGCTTATGTAGAGGGTCCTCAGAGGAATCAGGGAAAACACAAAATTATGGAGAACACAAGACAAAACCAAGGAATGCACAGACAAAACTCTAGAAGCACTCGGGAAAACAATACAAGAACAAAATGACAAAATAAGTAGACAATTAGAAATGGTACAGAAGCACCAACTAGAAATCCAGAAGCTTAACAATAAAATTGCAGTAATTGACAACTCAATGGGAAGTCATAGGAGTAGAATTGAAACAATGGAAGACAGGATCAGTGGAATAGGAGACCAATCCCTTGACACAAACCTGTTCGAGGAACAATCAAAAACAAAGAATGAAGAAAAATGAAGACAGCCTAAGAGTTACGTGGGACACCATCAAAAAGAATAACTTACGCATGATTGGAATCCCAGAAGTGGAGGAGTCAACAAAAAGCACAGAAAGAATTGTGGAAGATATGTTGACAGAAAACTTCCCTAATATCATGAAAGATGAGAAGATATCTATACAAGAAGCACAACAAAACCTATACAGGACACATCCCAGTAGAAGAACACCGAGACATATCATAATCTTTCCAAAAGCAAAGTCAAAGAAAGAATCCCGAAAGCAGCCCAGGAAAAATGAAAGATCACCTATAAAGGGCATCAATAAGAATAGGTTCTGATCACTGCGCAGAAACCATGCAGGCAAGAAGGCAATGGGATAGTATATATAAAACCTTGAAAGAAAAAATCGCCAACCCAGATTTATATATCTAGCAAAATTATCCCTCACAATGATGGTGAAATTAGGACATTTCCAGATAAACAGAAATTAAAGGAATTTGTAAAAACCAGACCAACTTTACAAGAAATATTACAGGGACACCTTTGGACAGAAAAATAATAACACACCAGACAACAACTTGAGATTGAAACACATGACAACATTAGACAGATATCAACCCAGATAAAGAACTCTCAAAAATAAGGTAAAGCTAAAATATGGAACACAGGGAATAAGAGATGTCAATCTGTAACTGACAACCACTTCAAAACATAAAACGGGAATAAAGCGTATAGGTTTAGAACTTCCATATGGAGAGGAAGTCAAGGTGATAATCAAGAAATAAATTACTGCTTTAAATTCAGGAAGATAAAGGTAAATTTCAGGGCAACCACAAAGAAAGTCAACAAACCTCCTCATCAAAATATACAAGAAGGAAATCATAAAGATTCAGCTACACAAAACAAAAATGATGAAGGAAATGAAAAGACAAGCCACAATTAAAAAAAAAAAAACAACAACCTCAGCAAATAAAATTAAAAGGAACAAAAAAACAGTCAACACCACAAAAAAATCATAAGAAAATGGCAGCAATAAACTCATACCTATCGATAATCACACTGAATGTAAATAGCCTAAATGCACCAGTAAAGATATGGAGAGTGGCAGAATGGATTAAAAACAGGACCC